CGAACCAGTTGTGCCCTTCATAAATAAAGAAACAGAACAATAGGGGAATCAAATCCATGGTTGTGTCCCTCTGCCCGAAAGCAAGACATTTGGGGCAGATGATTACATTTAAATCTAGCGCAGCAACATGTAATATGGCATTATGTTACTATGATAATAGTTTGGGAAAATGTTGCTTTTGGAGCTTTTTTTTTCACTTGTTTTCAGATCATTTTAATTTTACTGTTTGAAGATCCCCCCCCCCCCCCCCCCCATTTATTATTGCCCCTCATGCTGTATTATTCTCTGATAACTCTCTATTACCCCTGTACAGCTCTGTAATCAGCTTCCCTTCAAACCATCGCTTCTTGTTAACTTGGACGTGTGGACAGTTTTACTGTTTGTCTTTTGCTTGTATGGTCTAAAAAATTCACACATAACATACCAGTGGTCACATTTTCACCAACAAATTGACGAGAGGTTAACCTTTCATTTGCAGACATGAAAACACCATCTGTCTGGCCTCCAAATCCAAAACAAAACTCTGCCCCAGTTCTTACTGCAGAGAAGCCATGACATCTTTGCTCAAGGCCTCGAGCAGAAGTCAGACTGCTGCATCCTCACTCTAAATAAAGGGATTTCACCCACCTCAAAGTTCCTACGTGACTTTACCACTTATAAGTTGAAATAATCAAATGTGTTGAATGAACAAGATGTTTAAATCAAATGTTTGACTAATCTGTGCTTTAATCAATGCCAATGTACTCATACACATTACAATAAGTAACATTCACTTCACATAATTTTTTTAAACCACCATTTGGGGTGGCTGGGGCATCTAGTTAGCATGCCTCCTGGACGCCTCCCTGGTGAGGTTTTCTGGGCACGTCCGACCGGGAGAAGACCAAAAGGAAGACGGAGGACACGCTGGAGAGTCTATTTCTCACGGCTGGCCAGGGAACACCTTGGGATTTCCCCGGAGGAGTTGGCTCAAGTGGCTGGGGAGAGGGAAGTCTGGGCCTCTCTGCTCAAGCTGCTGCCCTCACGATCCGACCCCAGATAAGCGGCCAAAATGAATGGATGATTAACCGCATGAAAGTATTTTATGTGATTTTGAAGCTGAATAGTAAGAAAATAAAAATGAAAAGATCCAGTTTTCTATTTAGTGACACATTATTTTAAATATAATTTTTTTTTCACCACCATGAATAATAATTACTGCAGCTTCTATTTGCTCATCAGGTTGATAATTTGTGCAATTTTGTTCTGCGCTTCATCTTTCAGACTAAAATCCATTATGTTTGTTGAGAAGAGCTGATCAATGCTGACACCAAGTGGACAAAAAAGGTGTAACGGCTACTCAACAAGACTGCTTTTGGCTTGACCTAATTTTACATTTGAACTTTATAATATACATATTTTTTTCAACTCCATGGTCCAGATACTTTGGTGCATTCTTTATTTCCAGCTGCTGGATTTCCCAACATTCCATCAACATCTGGATCCAACATGAACCCTCTGTCTTGCCACCATGCTGCCTTTGTCTCATTGAACTTCTTTAATTAGAATTTAAGCATCGGCAGCAAACATCCTTGTGATGTGGATGTTAAATGAAATGTATTTACCTCCGCAGAAAAAGAAATGTTAACATTTAAATGAAAACGTTTATATCCTAACATAGTAGGTAATTGGATTGTAGGGTTGTTTTTTTCTGCTTGACAGCTGTTTTAGTTTATTCTTCTTCTCTTGGCGCTCCAGTTCTTGTTAGAACCGTCTCCTTGTGGATTGCAGCCCAGATATTTCCTGTCCCCCTCAGTGATCCAGGGAAACATTTTGTCTCTGTATGTGTGACTTCTCTGAATGCTGCAGGCGTTGGCTTACAGAAAGTCTGTCTCAGGTTGTGACATGCAGGCACAGGAACCCCCCCAGATCATTCCAGCCCACATTTCATTTTGGCAGGAAACTTAAATCACACGGAGTCCTCGGGGAGCCATCAACCAGGAGGGATGAGAGGGGATCTGGTCGTGATCAGAGGAAATGCTTGTATGTCTGAAGGAGATCAGTCATCTCTCCCTGCTCTGGTGGATACATTACTCTGCACTTTAGAGAGTTTTAATACTTTTCGGTTTTTAGTATTCGATAAAATGAGTACTTTGTGCATTTTCTTAAGTTTCCAAGCAGTTTTGTATAAATATATATTTATTTAATATATATATTTTAAAATCATTTAGTGATGTTTGCTGGCTCTCAATCTGCTTACTTGTAGTTTAAGCTTTTTGTCATCATCAACTCTATCTATATGCACTAGAACAAAGAGCAGACAAAATGCTATAGAACCTTTTTTACTTGTTATTTTTTAAAATATGATCACATGCAGGCTAAACATGAAAATAGTCTCCTGCCCCCTTTTTCTTTCATAGGCCTCCCAATAGAAAATACAGAGAAAAATGCTTGGATTAGAAAAGCCTGTTGGATCTATGTCACACTGAACATTTGCATAAACGGAAGGCTATTGATGATTTAGTGTCCAGGAGAAGGCAGAGCACGTCTTGGCTAGTTAGCATTAGCAACTCCCATACACTGCAGAACTCCTTCAGGCTCGAGTTATTTGTGGAGATAAAACATTAATGTTGCAAAGCAAACAGAGTCTGTAGTAGAGTTGAGTTTCTGTTAGCCAGTCAGAGGAATGGCAATCAGGAAATCATTTTCTGCTCTGGCTCACTTCTTCTAGACTAGCATGGCTGGTTACCAGCATGTGTTGTGTTTGGTGCTGGTATGCTGGTCCAGCATGGGAAGCTGGCTGGATGCTGGACCAGTGGCGTGACTAGCATCCCATGTTGCAAGCTAGTCCACCAAACCAGCACCAAAACGCAACACATGTTGGTAAGCAGCTATGCTAGTTTATGCCATTTCTTCCAGCAGGGCTACTTTGAGAGATGGACTCATGAGGCATTCATTTATACCAAAGCCCATTGCAAATGTACTGAAAGAAAAAAAAATAACTAGTGGACCTGGTGTTGTTCCATCTTTCCTTTTAAACAAATTGGGCATTTTCCTTACTAAGAAATAAAAACTACTTGCTATGTTCAAATATTAAAGTCCCATCAGTCATAACACACTGGTGAAACTCATCTCTGCATTTCACCCATCCCGTGGGGAGCGGTGGGCTGCATCTGTGGCCAAGCTTGGGAACTATTTAGTGGTTTAATCACCCAATCCAGCCCTTTTAGAGCTGAGTGTCAAGGAGGGAGGCATTGGGTCCCATTTTTACAGTCTTTGTTATAACCCGACTGGGATTTGAACCCTGATCTCCCAGTCCTCTGGCAGACACTCGACCACTATGCCACTGAGAAGGCAACCAAAGGATACTTTACAACTTTTTCATGTTTTTAAATCAATTTTTTGAGCAGGTTTGTGCTAAAATGATCCTTACTGTGTTAATGAAAGGCCACACATCCCCTATCGCCCCCTGTGACCCATATATTCCATTTGCAACTTCAAAGTCGCCGGTCCGCTCTGCTGGGACTTGGAAAAAAATTCCCTGACATACCTTGCGCTGCAATCAGACTATTTTCTCATGGACCTAAAGATTGATGAAACAGTTAAATACCATCGGGAGATAAATTGCTTTCATTTAAATATATAATTAAATGTGATGAAAAAAATGTTTCTTTAAATTTAATCAAACCACTCTGCATCTCATGCAGTAAAAATCTGCCTCGCATAGTCCGGCCTCAGACAGAAAGAATGTGCATGTCCTGCTCCACTTCACACATATGCTCCACACATATGTTTTCAGTACTTCACCACACTTTCACTCTGTGAGGCCCACAGCTGAGAGAGAAAGAGGCTAAGACAGAGATTGTGAGAAAATAAATGGAGTCTGATCAGAGGCTGTGTTGGCACTGCTCTTTCCCCTGACTGACCTCCAGCATACGGGCCATTGGCAGGTGGACAGACGGGTGGTTTTGAGTCTGGATAAAAGAAAAGCAGCCAACTGGAGTGGTAACAGAGGGGTATTGTGAGCTGCCTTGACTGGCTGACGCCTCAGCGGAGCAGAAAGGCGAGCGGTCTGGGTGGCCTCTTTCTGGGCCCTGGCAGAACCCTCTTCCACTGCTGGAAGTGGGTCAGGCAGGCACAATCAAGCTCAAACTCGGGGCATAATCTCAGGAACTTCAACAAAAAGCCACGAACAGTGAGGGTTGTGTACAGTGAAGACAAAAAAAACTTTGTTCAGATGCACTTTTTCTGAGAATGAATTTTCCTTTTTTCCACGCCATGTAGACCATTACTACTACCAACCCGAGGAGCTGGATTGTGAGTGATTAGATGAGAAGGCCTCAATCAAAAGCAGCATTGCTCCTGTTTTCCAGAAGGAGGCAGTGTTCCCATTTATGACACATTCCCATAATTCACAGCATCCATTTTACATCTAATTCATTGCGTCTCCTCAGCTGCAAAATGATTGCCAGTTATACAAGCTGAGCAGAACCAGCTATCTTCCGACTGATGTGGGCACCTTAAAGAGAAAACTGCTGCCACGTTTGAGCTGACGAAAAAGGAGCACAACACAATAAAACCAAAGATCTGAGGAAGAGAGAGGAATGTGAAGAATGGGACAATAAAACCTTCTTCTACAGTGGCAGACTCAGACGTGAACGTTTGTTTGTTCTGTGCCCACACGCAATGGAGAAGTCATCTTACCTCAGCGCTAGTGATAACTGGAGCCGTTACAGGAAGACCACGTTCCAGTGAGTGCCATGTACGGGGGACAGGCAGGCAGAGGGGTTATGCTTCACATCTCAGCTGGCACCTTGTCAGAACATCATGTGTCTGATCCAAACAGAACATGCCTGCCATTTATCCTGCCACACGCAGCCACAGCGGGGAGTCCACTCAGTTCAGGCCTAGCAGAGTTTACAGAAATAAAAACCACTTTTTAGCCCCCATCTGGTGACTCTGGGGACTAAACTTAAAGGAAAACTGGGATGTGGATTTGAGACAAAACAGACCACACCATCTTGGTCTTGGTAAATACTTTATATACAACTGTGTTTTTGATCTTTGCAAACACTATAGAAAACACTCACGGTAACACTGGGTTGTTTTTTCTGCACATTTAAAGCATCTGAGCTGTAAAACAGACATGGCACAGTAATCTACAGCATTACATTTTACCCCAATTTTTGGTCTATCATCACTCAGCACTTCCCTCCACATTCAACTTTACCCAAACGCGCGTGCGTGCACACACACACACACGCACACATGCTCACAGACACTGCTATCAGGCTCTCCATTTATATTCACAGTAGGCTTCATTACACTAGTCTGGCTTCATGTGATGGTTCTCATTATTTTTTCTTATTATTTAAAATAACTATCGCCATTTATGCTGCAATAATTGGAAAGTAATACATTTGTATTTACATCAGCTTATTGAGCAAAGTTCAAACACAAAGTGTGTACATACAGTTTTTATGGTTTATATCTGGGTTTGTCTATGTGGTATAGATCCAGAGATGTTCATACCAGTTCTGTTAGAAAAGAAAGGAGCCTCAGTCCTGAACGGCGACGATTCAGGGCAGCAGAAACGTCCAGCTTTCATGTCGCTGGCGATGGCAGGAGGAGGTTCATGGAGGCTGAAGCGTCCGGAGACGATGTGAGGCGCTCACAGTACGACAAACTCATACATTCAGCAGAGGCCAAGAGGTGAATGTTTTTTTCATTTGCACAGCTGCGATTTAGGGCATGTCGGCGACTGGCACATTTCCAACTCATGGTTTCGTTTTTCGTTCATACAAAATATAAAAATTGTGGTAAATGTTCACAGCCCCATGTCTGATTGAAAGAAAGAATACTTCAGGGGCAAAGAAAATCCCCCTCAAGTTAACCAAACACTATTTTACCTTCCTGCTCTTTAAGTTGCATCCACACACAAAGACTACCACAATCACTTTTATACCCTCACAAACGGTACAGAAGCAGTTACACAGAGAACATAAAAGCACACACACACACACACACACACACACACATAAAATGTGAGAGGAAAGTGAGGCACATAATCTGGCAGGCTAAAACACAGTCTGGATTTTGGTATATTTAAAACAAAACTCGGATGAGGTTGATTAAGGTGTCTCAAACAAGCCCAGGCTGCCAACGCAGTGAGAACTTTTAAAATGCGACCTATTGAGTGCGTATCATCTTCCAGGTGCCTAATGCATACTTTGAATCTTTAAGTATCTACTATATGACCAAATACACGTTTGCTCTATCATCCCTTACTCACGAGTATCTGTGTTGGGGGTTGGAATAAACTCATCATAGTGAGATTTCCTAAAGGTTTTACAGACACATCGTCATCTTACCTAGACTGAAGGCGATGTAACAGAGACGTGCTTCAACAGTCTGATACACTCTGGGCTCAGACCTGAAATGGGTCACAGGCATATTTATGTTTTGGTCACAACATGGCAGAAAGAGCAAGAAGGGAGTCTGGGACAAAACTTTTTTCAGTTCTAAAAATAAAAATCTTAGCAACCAGAACAATGGAAATCAGTAATAGTTTGAAATTCAAATTAAAGTACAATTTTTGTAGGTCATTAGAATGAGGGTTGAAACCCTTCAGTAGGGTCTCTTAGAGGCATCTTTTAAAAATGGCATCACTTTGTGCATGTACTTAATTTGTTTGTTCTACTCTTCCTCAATACTATTTGTAAGCTATGGTACTTCATTATCCTGGGCATGTTGGTTGATTGACTCAATCAATTTGATACCAAATTTATAACAGAAAGCAACAATCAGGAAAAACGAAGAAGAACAGATACTCTGTCCTTCCAGTCTCCCCTGGTTTGTTTGAAGAAAGATCAGAGGAAGGAACGGGTCTTGCTTCAGCCGTCATCGGGGGTTGAGTTGTCGGGTGTGGATGAGTCCTCAGCAAAGTCATCTGTTGACCCGCTCTTGTGAATGCGACCGTCGCTGCTCATGCTTTGGAAAGTCTTGCGGAAAGCCTCCATCATTGAGTGCGCCAGCTTCTTGGCCTCCAGCTTGCTCTCGCACTCAACTGCATGGCAGTCCATCTGGAAGGACAGGTCGTCGTTGATCTCCCGGTAGATCCAGGCAAATACGTTGGGTCTGACGCTATGGTCAGCGGTGCAGTAGGCGATGCGTGCAACCTGGTAGGTGTCCACAGTCACTGACGCTTCGCCGTGCTGGTCTAGGTGGTGAAGATGCACGTGGAAGGGACGGATTTCAAGTAGGGAGTTGTTTGAGGGTGAAGTTCCCTGCTGCTGGGCCAAGGCCCGACGCTCCACCAGACCCACTACAGCTGACTCCGTGCAGCCAGACAAGAACTGGGTCCCAGAGATTCTCATCTTGCCCAAGTAGTTCACCTGCAGCAAAAGAAACACATGAATCCAATTAGCCAAGTTGTTTTGGTGCAAAATGTCATTAATATTAAATTAGTTAGGATTATTTTATTAAGCTTAAACTAAAAACAAAGATGGGCTGCACGGTGAAAAAGTGGGTAGCACTACTGCCTTGCAGCAAAAAGGTCATAGGGTCGAATCCCAGCTGCAGCCTTTCAGCGCCAACTTTTTTACAGGTACTCCAGTTTCTTTTCATTATCCTAAAACATGCATGTCAGGTTAAATGGAGACTCTGATCTGCCCCTAGGTGGAGCTAGTGTGTGACTGGTTGTCCCTGAGACCTGTCTGGCATGCTGCCCTACCCGTCTCCCAATAACCACTGTATGTAGGCACCAACTCCACTGAAACTCTACTGAGCTTTAAGTGGTTGAGATAGTGATTTAAAACTGCAGTGGGCCAATAATAGAGCTTTGAGGGACACCACAAATTAAAGGAACATAGATTCATTAAGGAGTTTTTTTTTAAATAAGCAGTTGGGCATCCATCCATCCATCAACAAAGAACAATATGAGCATCTCTAAGAGCTTTTAAATGTTGTTAAGGTATAAAACGGTCACGATCAGTAATGTTAGTATGAACTTCGCTGCTCAAGATGTTTTGAGCGGATTAGTGTGCAGAAAACACTTTGAATAATCACTTTTTTGCACTAAGCTAAATAAATACTAGTCATTTAGGTCTTTTTGTCCATATAAATGTTTTAAGTGCAAAGAAACGGTGGTGATGAGGGTTTCATAATTTCCTTTAGTAACTCTGTTCCAAGGTTTGTGCATTTTATTTCTTAGAGAAAAAAAAAAGAAAGAAAAAAGAACACAAAATACCATAGTAATGACACTGCATACCAGGGGAGCGACAGACTGAGAAGAGGAAGACAAATAAGGAACGTGAGTTAAAAAGAGAACATAGCTTGAATTTTCTTTGACTGTGGCCAGTTCGAAAGCTGTCCAGCAATAACGGCTGACTTGTGCGCTCTTCAGCATGCTGTTCGTTATGGGGTTGTAAAAATACACAGAGAAGGAACCTCAAACATTCAGATTTGCCTTACCAGTCTGTACTATAGGGGAATACCCATGAACTCTTTTGAGTTTATTAGAAATAGTTTCCAAGCAGCACACATTGCAAAGTAAAGATGTTTATCATTTTTACAAACAGTTGCAGAGCATGTTACTGCTACAAGTGGTTCAGTGCAATTACTTTAAGTATTAAGCAGATTCCCCTTGGCAACACAACCCCTCAAGAACTTTATGTAAACTATCATATGGAAATCCTTTTTAAGGACTGCATTTGATTATTTAAATATCAGAAATTGTTTAACAACAAATAACAGTTTCAGACTGATGCTGAGCATGGTTCTTGTTCCATCTATCACGGTGATTTTGACTATGTCTCTTAATGCGTATCTAAATGCCCTCGTACTCTTTTGACTGAATGGGACCTTTCAACATCAGTTCAAGCAGCTAGCCAGTAAGCCTCATGGAAAGTTTCACAGTTAAGAGTAGCAGTAGGGTGTAACATTTACCATCAGGCAACAAAAATGTAGAAGCCAAAGCAGCAGACACAGGATAAGCAGTTGGGAAAAACTGCTTTGGAAAATGTTTCTACTGTTAAAAAAAAGTGCTCTTTGTGGTCCAACCTTATCAAGTTTAGTTCTGAATGGAGGTAACTGTCATGACTGTGTATTCAGTTTGAGAATAAAACAACCACATTGATATTTAGACAAAATGATATTTGGCTATGCATAAAGACCTACGATGTTTATTCATCATACTGTAACTACTACAAGCCATGCTTGTTCAATCCAAACACAAATGCCAAGTCCTAGTTTAGCTTTCTGTGCACCAACTACTTTTCATCATCAATAGGTTTGGACAAAGAGCATCAATCAATTGGAACTGGGACGGTTAGATTTTCCCGGAATCGTTCAACTTCTTCAATCTCGATTCCTTGTTTTGATTCCCAGTCTGCCGACTGGAAGAAGAATCCATGGCTGATCTCCGTGAAAAAAAATGTGATGTGCAAACTCTGGTCAGCGCCTTTCAGAGCTGACCATACCAGCTGTCTGTCGCTCCTACTCCGAAGCCCGTAAAGATGTGCAAAATGTGGGGGAACAGCTTAAAGGTATGTTCAATTAATGACGTTCCTTCATATATAAACACCAGCCTTTCTCAAATAAACCTCTGAGATTTCCAGATTGCAACATCACATATTTCCACTTTCAGGCAATAGGAAAACTACCCCTCTTGCCACTTTTTATTGGAGGTGACAACATGGTTGGATGTAAAACATTCACAGTGGAACTTTCATTATGCTGTGGTTCATTGGAGTTAACGTCAGTCAAGAAATCAACAGCCAGCACTGAGGTATGTTAATCCAGGACAAGGATAATGACTCATTGTAACCTTCAGAGGCCGACCGATATATTCAATGTGTTCTATATCGGCCATTGGCCAAACTTAGTTTTAAAAGCAGATAAAAAAAAAATACCTAAAAAAATCAGGCATCTGTGTGGTCAAATGCCACCACTACTAGACTGAAGAAAGGGTCCAAAGGACCCCAACACAACCTTCCAGAATAAAAGCTGGAATATTCCTTTCAGAATAAAAGCTCCACCGACCCAGGCTTGGGTCTGACCAGATGCCAATAAAAAAATTAATGTCACCAGTGTGTGATGATGACTATGGGACTTTACATACAAAAAGCAACAAAAAAACTGATGTATAAATGATAGTAAAGATAAATGTACATTGAGGTAAACTGAAACTAATTTCTATCTGAAATTAGTTTTCTCCTCAAGGTGGCTGGGCTCTCCCTAAGAGATAGGGTGGGAAGCTCGGCCATCCGGGAGAGGCTCGGAGTAGATCTGTGGATCGCGCATCTGCTCAGGATGTCTCCTGGATGGTTTTCTAGGCACGTCCAACCGAGAGGAGACCTAAAGGAAGACCCAGGATAGTTTCACATCTGGGCCAGCCCACACCAGTAGGGTTAACACTTCTCAGGAACAGGGACATCTCCTAGCGTGTGGCAAGGGCAACAGATGCCCAGAAAAGTCTGTGGTGTCTCCCTTAAACAAAGGTGGCTGTGAGCAGTGTTGCTTTCAGATATTCTGACTGATATTGCATCTAGACTGCAGCGTCTGTCCTTGCGCTTGCATAGGCCATCATTTACTTCTGAGTAACCAGAATGATAATGAATGTCGCATGCAAGAAGCCCCGTTGGTTGATTCTATACACCAATTGGAGGCTTCCCCTAACAGTAGGCATGAATTTGAGCCAGCCAATCAGTTGGCAGTGGGTGTGTTGGACCAGTTCAGCCCGCAGCAGGCTGTCTTGGTATGAGGGCTGAAAAATCGAGTTGAGCATGGAAAAATACAAGGCTACCCAGTAGGGATGCACCGATGGATCGGCATTTGATTCCAATCAGCCGATAGCGCCCCTATCGGTTTTGATCGGAGTTTTCAAAATAGATCAAAGCAGACCGATCAGGTAGGGTTGTCACGGTAACCAGTGTAGCGGTAAACCCCGGTAAAAAAAGTTGACAATAATAATAACCGTCTTGTTTTTAAAAAACTGTATTATCTCGGTGGGTTTATGGTGGCTGCGGTGTAGGCGCGGGACCCTTACCAGCCACCGTATCATCTGCTGAAGTTGCCGGTGGCACATGTGCGTTTTGTTGTTTACAACCAAAACTTTCTTGAAGCTAAAGCTGAAATAATGGCCAAAGGAGGAGACGGCAGTGCTCAGGCGGACATTTTGTATCCCTCAAAGAAGACCAAGTCGGAAGTACGGGCATCTTTTGGATATTTGAAGAATGCCGAGGGACAGTTGATAGAAGACAGCTATCCTGTTTGCAGCACGTGCAGAAAAAGAGTCTGTGAAAGGCAGCAACGCTTCAAATCTTATGACACATCTGCGTGACCATCACCCACAACTCTACAGTCAACACAAGGCAAGCTAACGTTAGCGTTTTAGCTAAAATGCGTGATCCGAGGATTTGGGTTGAGGGAGAATGCAACGAGTGGCTATATAAAGCAGCCGCAGCGCCGCTACCTGCATATAAACCGTGTTGCAGACACCCCCATGTTGAAATGACGCTATGCATTACGGGGCTCCCAGGGGCAGATAAGAGTTGGTCTCTCTCCGAGAATAATTATGAATTTAACAATGATTACTGCCTGATGACATTTTCCCACATCCGCAAAACTCACTGGAAGGACACAAACCGAGGACAATATTTTCCTGATATAGGGTTTATTACTCAAGTAAGGGTAAAAAAGTATCTGATTAGAAGGCTACTTGAGTACTGAGTATCATCTGATCTAATATTTTTAAAATGATGACATCAAACAGACATAAAATAAGAAGTTATGGGCAAATGTTGGTATTTTAAAGTCTAAAGGGGAAAAATGTAAACAAATAAACAACATAATTACAAAATAACACATTTTAGGCAAAATTTAGACACAGAGGACAATATTTCCTGACATACAGGGTGTATTTAATTGTGTGAAAATGTAGCAAGTTAAAAAAAAATACCGCGATAATACCGAAAACCGTGGTAATTTTGGTCACAATAACCGTGAGGTTAAATTTTCACACCGTGACAACCCTAATACAGACTATTTTAGATTAGGTTACATTTCCTTTATTCCCAGATTATGTAGTTTGTACCACTCATTATAATGTTGTAGAAAATTTCTGGCCAATCCACGTGATCGGTATCGGTGATCAGCATTCTTTTGGGCCATTCCCATCTGTACCGGGTCGGCCCGGGCCGGGTAGCCCCAGTCGGCCCCAGCCTGGCCCGGTTGATTCCACACATCCTTGTCTTAAGCCCATGTGGGCTGATTCTACCCATCAATCAGAGGCTTGTTCTAATGGAAGGTGTGAATTTGCTGTCAGCAGTGGGTGTGTTGGCCCTGGTCGGCCTGAAGCAGACCCCCTCGAGAAGAGGGCTGAGAATGAGCCTTG